TGAAAAGGATAGAATCTCTTGAATAGACTCTTATTTACTTATATTTTGGCCCATGGCAAATAACGATAATGTAAGAAATCAGAGGAATAATTTGAAATACTTCTTAATAATTATTTTATACAATAGATTAGGTACAGAGGACCTGGCCATGAAGGTGAAGCTCCCCAGGCACAACAACAACAGCCTCCACCACCAGCACCTCGTCCTCCAGCTCAGCCTCTTCTTGCTACTCCTTTATACATTACAGCTCTAGTTGTTATCATATCTGTAATGCTGGTTGGTTTTTGCTTGTTTAGCTATTTTACTTTTTATTTTGGAGGTCTTATGGAGGAGCAGAGAACACTTAGACTAGCAAATGCAGAGCTGACAAAGGTAAAGGGTGACCTCAAAAAAGAGTTGGAGCGGACAAGGAATGAATGTAGTATTAATCGTGAGAAAGATAAGGCTAACTTTGAGGACTTGTTGAAAAAGCAAAAAGAAGTGTTTGATGATCTCATGAATAAGAGTAAAGAAGAAACGAAACAAAGTGCGTTAGAAAGGCATCAGGATAAGGAAAAAGAAGAGACGAATAGAATGGGAATTTATACAAATGTAGTAGAGAAACGAGAAGAGGATTATGTTGAGTGTAAAGATAAACTCACTCAATACCAAAACAAGGTTGAGCAGCTACAGAAAAATGAAACAAGAATAGTTGCTGATTTTACAAATGCAGTAACCCAGTGCAAGGTTGAGACAAGTTTCAAAACAAGCCAACTTGAATCCTGTGAAGCTAGACTCAATAATTCCATGACTCTTATGAAAGAAAAAGGAATAGATGTGTTTTATTAGAACTTCAAAAGTAGTAGACTCTATGCCAGTTGTTATAGATAGTGTTTCTAGGTTAAGCTAGTTTTGCATATTTTTCACTTTTAAGGCATTTTTGTGTAGTTTTTAGTTCAATTTTGTAGTGATCATTAAAATTAAAGAAAATAAAAATTAGTATGTCATTTTAAAAAATGGATGCACATGCAATAATAATATTTACACTATATTCTTGTGAATAAAGAAACATCAGTTTATTTCACCTCCTCCACCTTCATTCCAGTTATCATTACTATTAATGACATGCCAGGAACACGCCATGTGCTTCACTATAATTACACTGAGAAAAGGTGTGGTGAGCCACACCTTTTAATTTACCTATTTTTGAGGATTTAATTTTGCAATTTTTTTAAATTTGCAAATATTTTGGGCCACAGAAATTTCACACTACTGACTAATGACAGCCTTTGACAGTCACAAACAAGACGCTTTCTTGCTAAAAGTCGGCAGCTATTGCTAAGAAAAAGGGTAACTTGCATCTGTTGCTTAGTGATATACGAAGTCAATGTAGCAACACGAAAGTTTCCAATCCCTTTCATTTACTCTAATATCTATGGTTTATGTGGGGCTCACTCAGGCTCACCCCAATTATCATTTGCTCATAATTAGTAATTATCATTCGTCTCGCCCTGCCCCTTTGCTTACTGCAGGTAGCGAAGGGGTGGGGCGAGACTATAATTATCATGTATTATACATGAATGTCTTTAGGTTTTCAGCTCTTTGTGTATACATGTACATGTAGATGTACTTTGACTGTTTTTCTGTCTTTATAACTAGTAATGCCGAGTCTGTTCCAGGAGGATATAATTATTGGAGAGATTGCTACCATTCAACTGAGCCTCCACTCTGCTTTAAAGGAATATCAAGACAAGTAAATTTATATAATTAGTAGATCTATGGATCTTCACTGTTCGTTGGTCTGATGTACTTCTTTCTTTCCTTCTCTCTCTCTCTTCATTCTTACAGTTACTCATTGCTGGTAAATCCTGTCATTTGAGTATGTCACTAGGGAGTCAATCAGTTATTGAGGTACATGTACATGTACACGTACTTTTAGTACATGTACATCTACATATGTATGTACATGTACATATATAAGTGTCTTGTTGCATTTTTTTACTAGATGAAGAAATCTCTTGATAATCTTTATCTTGAGTTTCTCTCTCATTTTACATCTTCACCTCCCAAGCAATGTCTTATTGAGCCACACCTCCCTGAACCACCGTCACCAGAACCCTGCCCACTTGAACCACTGTCATCTGAGCCACGCCCACTTGAGCCACCATCATTAGAGCCCCGCCCACTTGAATTACATTCACAATCACTGGAGTCATCGCACCTAGATGAACATGTACATGTACCGGATCACATTCCTTATAAGGAAGAGAGTTTGCTTGTTCTCTCAAATGTTGATCCTTTGCTGCGTGAAGCTCTTATCTTGTTGCCATGGAAACAGCCAAAAACAACTAACGAGTAAGTGTACATAATATACATGTACATGTATTTTTTATTATATCTAATTATTCTTAATTACAGATCTTACGAGTTGTATATGAGGCTGCAAGAGTTAGCCCCTGTCATTAATGCTCTTAATAGACCAATGACTGAATTTATTGAGGACATCATCAACAATACATTTAAGAGCAGATTTTATGAGGTGAGTATTTGTACATGTAGTTCTTTTTTAATCTGTTCCCTTCTCTTCTTTTATCTCTCTCTCCCTCCCTCCCTCTCTCTCCTCTCTCTCCCTCTCTCTCTCTCTCCAGTCCTCAAAGCTGTTAATGGAGATATTAAAAG